CATGTGTCAGGTACTTAACAAGCGAAAGTGAAGAATAATATTAAAAGGTTTTACGTTGCCTGATACATGAATGAAATATGCATTATTAGAAACTAGAAAAGATATGACTTTTCATATGATTACAAACATAATCCTATTTTATGTAACTCTATTTTAAAACAAGTGGAAAAATTCAACCGAATTTTAAAAGTAAAGGTTTGTTTAGTAGAAAGTGAAAAAGGTACGTTGTGGCTTCCGATTAAGTGTATATTGCCGGACACATGATTGAAACATGCATTATTAGAAGCTAGAAAAGTTATGATATTTTTCTGTATTTAAATACTGCTACTGTTCGTCCGCGTTTCGGACTGAAGCTGAAGTAAAACATATGCATCCGTGTCATTTCGGAAGATAAAAACTACTTTTGTTCTTTCAAACGTTTTGAATTGAGATTTAGATATAATACACATTTTTAAAATAGTCAACCCTATTTCATTGTACAATTATGTTTTTTGATTCACTTTTTAGTTTAACTAAGATGTTATTACAGATGTCATCATCATTCGATGTCATGTCATCATTTGAAAAATTATGTGTAATTTTGTTTTATTAATCTTTTCAGATAAGTACAAAAATGAATAATAATCTTCGTCTTGTATCAGTTTATTAGTTAAACGAATCAAAATAGTTACGTGTTGTATGCAATGAATAGAATCCATCGTTTGAATCGTTAGAAAAATCATTATCAAAACTATTAAATGTACCAACTAGTTCCTGTCATTTACGAATTGGACAGTATTATGTTAAGGATTTTTCATATATATCCCCTTCATTTGATATATTAGGTGAAGTGTTATATTTAAAAACAGCAAAACAGCAAGTGCAGATAAAAGATTTCAATTATTTATTGTAACAGCACGCGGCAAAACAATTACAGTACATTGTACAAAAGATATGATAATATCAGAGGTAGTATCATTAATTCGAAATCATAAAGATAGTGTGCTCAGTGAACGATTCACTTATTGTAGCCGACAATTAGATGATCATGATCAAAAAACGTTATCGACTATGGTATTCAGAACGCATCAACCATATATGGCTCATTATCATTAAAAGGAGGATTAAAAGGCGGTGCCTACCCATCCACTTCATCAAGCCGTTTGCCATCTGGCAGACCAAATGGGTTTCAATTTGTTTATAGCGGATGAAACTAAACTTATACACTATCCGTTAATTGTTGCAGGTGAAAGTGATGAACAAAAATGGAGATGGCTCACAAAACCTGGTCTGTGTTTAAAAGGTAAATGCTCCAATTCGTCTTGTGAAGCTCATAATCAAATGGTTATAATGAATATGGGGATTTGTGTATTTAATGTTATTACTGATGTGTCAGAAGGTACAATAAAGTGTCCTGTATGTGACACATTTGTTCATCCATTAACATGTGCATTTTACAATTGTGAATGGCGATGGGACGGCTTGAAAAAATCAGATATGATCAATGAACCACCACTTAAAGTTAATAAAACAGAATACGCGTCAGTCACAAATGAATATCATTTATTTGACATTAAAGGCAAAGGTGAGGCGGCAATGGTGAATTGGTTACAATTAATTATACATACAAGACCAATGTTGATACTATCAAATGTTCAATCTGTCTGTTTCCCGTTTCAAGCGAAGATAAAATGATTACAAAATGTAATCATCTATTTCATATAGAATGCTTGAATAAATGGATCAATTCTGGTGGTGATATGTCGTCTAATTGCCCAAATTGTAGAGAAGGACTTTTCTAGGCTGTCTATGGAATGTTTCATTAATTGAGAGAAAAATACTCAACTCTATTTATATTGACTATTAAATATATTCAAATCTGATGGTTTTTTCTCGAGAAGCGTAATTTTTCACACTTAGATATTCGGAATCTGCACGACGAGTTATACGGTACGGCGCTAAGATCTCGTCTGGGCAGGAGCGTTGTTTTAGTCGGGATTCGTCACCCTCAAGCTTGAAATCTTGCCCAAAAAGAGGGGGTACCCTTAAGATATGTTAAACGCTGCAAAGTTTTAATTTTATTTAATTTAATAAATTTACATGACCATGTTCTCTTTTAGCTGTTATCATATTCGCAACGTCGATTTTCAGTCTTCTGTTAAGCGCATGAGTTTGCGCATTTTGGTGCTGATGTCCCAATTGTCTGCTGATTATATTGTTGCTGTCGTCGTTCTAATTCACTGTTGATCATTTGTTTTTGAACTTCATCGGGTAGACCCGGATTCAGACTCAATGAATATGGCAACATCAGTTTTGGAAAATCATTAAAGTTTACGATACATTTAATAAACATGGTGTCATCTTTTAAATAATCACTTCCTTCTTGCTGTATCATTGATAATGGAAAGAATTTCGGTATACCCGATGCACTATTCATTTGTGTTTTAGGTAATTGAAATGAGTCAGATTTTGTGTCGGGACGAAATGAATCGATAATGTGTCGTTGTTGTCCCGATTGATCGAGCAGACAAAAGGTGACTTTGAAATGAAATGGCCATTTTAAGATTACATCATACTCCCCTCGCATCACAACAAAAAAGAGAGAAATATGTGTACTTTGAGCAATACCATCACCATTCAAATATAATCTCATGCACATTTTGTATCCTGTAGGAGATGAATAGAATGGTGGCGAATAAATACTCGGTTGATGTTTGGATTGCGCACGTAGCATCAACTCTCTAACATTTTTCACTTTCCAAATGTACGTTCCATCATATGATGTTGACTGTACATTCTCTATAATCTGTGATAATTCCGTCAAATTTTGTTGCATTATTTGTTGATTCATTTGTATTTCATTAACTGGCGCAGCTTGTTCTTGCTCTGATTGTTTAAATTTCATCAACTCTTGTCGATAAGTATCAACAATAGGCTTTATGTTAGAGAGCTCATTAGTCAGTCTTGTTGTATCGTCCAAATACGTCTGGATGCCGTCAGTTAGAATAGCCATAGTTTCATACAATTTATTATGTTTTTCATATAACTCATTCACTGATTGTACGGTCTTGTCGCATTTTATTGATGATGAAGCCACATCCGTATCGCTCATCATGATGGTAGATTGCTCAACGTCAGTCTGTGTGTTCGGATCTTGATCTAAGTGAGATATCATAACATGATAATGAATACTTGCCAAGAGGCATCGTTTATGAATTTCACTTGAATAATGATCATGGAGTTGACATTCTGCCACCTGCTCCAAACAACCCCAGTCTGCTAAGACACATCGAACTAACGGCTGAGAGTCATTATTATATTCATCTACCACATAATACGATTGCAACATTGAATCATCTTGACGAAAAAGATCACGTTCGATACTATATACTGGTTGTTCTTTTTCAATCAGGTGACATTTCTGACATTCATCAAGATCCACGTTACTCGAAGACGTATTTTGATCTGATCTTTGATTATCCATGTTTTGTGTACTGATAAGAATATTTTTGTGTTAAATAAGTGAACTGTACAGGAGTACTCATTTATACAAAGATATACTACAGTCACTGGAAATAAACAGAAATATACGGTTGAAGAGCCTGTTTCCTACCCATGAAAATATCCACCATTAAAAAGGAAGAATGAAGGAGAAAACCAAACATGCGTCATTGTTCGTTTCTGTTGACTGTTTCTATACGTAAAAAAAAACGTTTAAATAGGAACAAACCGTCTACCATTTGCTTTCGTTGATGCGCTGAATAAATCAGTAAAGTGTGTAAATCACCACAATTATTAACGTGGCTATGGACTTTTTTTGTATGTAATTGCTTACAGTTCCATACTCATTCTGATGATTACTGTTTTTCACATACTCAACCAATCAATCAATCAATCTATCAGTTTATTTTAACACGAATGTGTCTAGGATATTACAAAAAAGATAAAACTTAAATGAATGTAACGCCTATATTAAGATCTAGAGAAACAAGAAGGAATTATTACAAATAACGAGAAAAAATAAAACTTTAAACAGAGAATTACAGATTCCAATTACCGTTGTAAAACTACATATTCAGATACAATCTAAGCCTTCGCCTAAAAGCTCCTGTGGCAAATTGGGATATGACAGATCGTGACAAGAGGTTCCACTTCGTACATGTACGGGGAAGAAAAGAGCGTTTAGTTGTTTCTAAGCTTGTCTTAGAGATAGATAGTCCACTGGCACCGATTATTCAGCCTATCGGACGTTCTGCTAGTTAAAGGTGTGATCATATTAAATCTTGATAGAGCGCTTTTGCCTATCATAATTTTATGAAAATGTAACAAACGAAACTATTTTCGTCTTTAAGTTCAATCAAGAAAATTTAATTTGTTCATCAGTAATGACCTGCTCGTTTCATAGTCATTACAGATTACTCTGGCTGCCACTTTTGAACAGAAACTAGTAGGTGTAAATGCATTTTTACGGTAGTATCGTAAACAACAGAACAATAGTCCATGACTCCCGTTATGCACGTTTCAAAGGTGTGAAGACTTGTGCGCAGTTAAATGTATGGTGCATTGCGCCTAACATCTGTCTACACTTTTTGGCTACATTAGAAATATGAAATTCCATGTTAGATTATGCGATAAAAAGCTCCTAACAACTTAATATTGTTTTCCTTAACCAGAGCCTGTCCTGATAAAAAAAGCAAACTTCCTAGAGTGGAAGACGGTGTAGTTGTTGAGAAGGGAATAAAAACGCACTTGTCGATGTTTAATTTTCCTAGCATTTTGTCACACCAGACATTGCATCCAGGTCATTTTGAGCATTTACTAAATCTGTAAAATCGTACACAGGAACCAGAAGAAAAACATCGTCAGCAAAGAGACAAACAGTTGTTGAAGGGGGGAAAATGCCGGGAGGTCATTGATAAAAATGAGGAAAAGGATGAGACCTAATATACTTCCTTGGAGGACTCCTGAGACTGCAGGTACTGGACTGGATCGTTTATTGTTAACCGAAACAATTTGTTTCCGTTAACAATACGTGGAATACAGAGATAGGAGCTGAACCACTGGTAGAGTGGCCCATCGATATTGTTAGGGATGATTTTATCAGAACTATGATTTCAGCTACCGAAAATTCAAAAGTTGATAAAAATCTTTGTTGATATTGATTCTGATTTAAGGGAAGACGCAGGGGGCCTGCGTTTGATGAAAAACATTCCCGAAAGAACTCAGCGAACATGTCTGCTTTCGCTTGGTCATCACTTGCAGTGGACTTGACATGGATAATTTTGACAGGATAATCTGGGAGTAGTCTTTTCTAAAACGATTTAAACTGGTCCAATCAGAGGCGGATCCAGGATTCTACCGACGGGGTGGCGATTTCTAAACGATGTCGTCCGAGGTAGTATGAATATTTTTTCTAAGGAAGTCGGATAGCGTATTTGCATTAGAATGCCATTTGCGAGGGGGCGAACCGCCGTAGTGCTAGATCCACTACTCACAGTGTGCATTCAGGCCGGCTTTTGATGCAAAATGAAAGTTGATTTTTCAGTAATTTTAAGGATGATTAATATACGTTGAAACATGCTCTATTTAATGGCAAAAATTTTTATGTCCTAGAACTTATTTAAGCTGGGAAAATCCTATACACAAAAACACACTAAAAAATCCATGTCCATCGGAAAATCGGATTATACGCAAAAATTTTAAAAAATCAAACATAGCTATTGGGCAAACAAACATATTTTTAAATATAAAGTATAATACTGCTATGAAAATCATAATAAAATTCTTCTGAATTTATTTAAACACTCGAGCTTTCGATCACAACTTAGATCATTTTCAAGAGTGAATGACAAAAGGAAAAGAAGC